GTAAAGTATTGAATTAAGATCTTTACTAACCAGGAGCTTGCAATCTCTAATTATATCTTAGATACAGCAATTAAAAAAAAACAACAACAGGGTAATAAAGGTTGGCCTTATTGTGGTACAAACCTTTTAATAAGATCTTTCTTAGCCTCAAGGTCTTTCTTTGTACCATGACAAATTACTCGGCACTGATGACTCTACAGTAATGTTTAATATACCTTAAACCAAGACATACCCGTCTGTGGAGGTCTCTTCGAAATATAACGTGCATGGCTTCAGCCAGCCAGTGGACGTCCTACCCTGAGCAGCTGACCAAGCTGTGGTCAGGCCCCCACACTGCCAGTCCTGCACCATACACTGCAACCATTTTGGAACAGGAGCACAAGTAGAAAAAGTGAAACCACGCAAAATTCTTCTTTCAGCACTGCTTTCCATTGGCATTCCTCCTCCCACTCTACACCGCCCAGACAGATAGCCACGTCCTTTTACTGCCGCTCACTCCCATCTGCTCTGGCGCTGCCTGCACTTGCTCATCTAACCCCTGCACCCACAATTCCTCCCAACTCCACTCCTTTCCACGCACTTATTTTCTTCTTTTTAGCAGATACTCCCCTTGACAAGAGCCAAACACTTTAAAGCTGCCAGTTGGCACTTTATTTCCATACCTATCTCCACATCCCATCCAAAGTAAAAGAGAAGAATGGTAGAAGATGAATCTTTCTGAAACATCTCCTTCCAGCAATGCATTCATCTCCACTGATATACTCTGCTTTGTCCCTGAGCACTCACTCCTTCCACTAACTGAAAAGAGAAAAAATTAGCAAAAAAAAAGTAGTAAAATAAATCATGAGACAGCGAGAAGGCACACAGGATATAGTGAGCTTCCATGTCGATCTGACAAAGGAAAGAGAAACAGAGGGTTTGGAGACTAGAAGTACAGCTAAACATGAAGTACAATACAAATAAAACCAGACGGGAAAAATAAAGTAACAATAGTAGGAAAAGGCCTGCAGGGTTGAAAGCACAGATAAAGACAACAATGAAGTAAAGAGACACAGAGATGACGTGACAGACATTACGATCCAGTCAGCAGTATTTTGCTTTTAAGAATTACTGAAAAAGAACATACACAAGAGGTATAATTAGGAAACACAACATATAAGTAGAAGCAAGCAAGCACGTAAAGGTAAGTGGAGTTTTCTGAAGGATTGTACTGTGCAAAGATAACAGCACACAGATCCCACGATCTCCACCAACTACAGCTGGCACAACTGCCAGGGCCATGCACAGCCAGCTAAGCCTGCTCGTAAGGGCATCCCTCCTCCCTCAATACGCGATTACCTCAGGCAGCACCCTGCTAGAACTATACTGCTCCCTAGTCCACAGCAGCATAGATGACTACACCACAGTACTTTCCATGGGAATCAAGCCCCTGCCCAAAGGCAAAGGCGGCTGCAGTGATTTCCTGTAATCCCAGATGAATATGAACAAGATATTATGTATCTATAATGCATATATAAAGTCAACTCTGCTTTTAAATTACCTGCTGTGGAAAGGATTCTAATAAGACCCATATGGACTAAAGAGTTATGCTAATGATTCACACCACTGAGTTGTGCTCCTAGAAAAACACTGCTTGTCTTAATTCCCCTTTCCAAATTAATTTTAGTGTATGAAATATAGAACATCTCCATGTCTACAGAATTATATAGGATATATCAAAATTACTGTTTTGACTGGAGATCTAAGCTTTCCAAAAGTCAGTTTTTATTTATAACTTGATTTCTATTTGAATCTCACACTTAAAATTAATTTTGAGGTCAATCTCATTCTTCGAAAAAAAACTGAACAGCTAACACTTAACCATTTTTGAGGAACAAATCTGCTTTTAACCTCATCATTTCTTCTGTTCCTCAGGGAGTTTATCTATCCCTGACCATAGCACTCTAGTAAGACCGGTCAGCTGAAAGACAGGTGAGATTTTAATCATTAGCATGCTGTTAAAATTCGAAAGGACAGCCCCCTCCTTCCAAACCAAAATCAGGTTCACAAAAGTGTCGAAACAAAAGCAAAAGTATATGCAAGCTGAAGTTTTTCAGGTGTCTACTATATGTCTACAAAGTAAATACGTTGCACTAATTGAAGAAAGATTCCCCAATGCAAGAAATGACCTATCAAGATGCTTCAGGTTTGGTTTGTTTAATTTTCCTGAACATTAATTTTTAGAAGCAAAACTACTTTTATCATACATTTATGTTCATTGCCATGGATATGTAAGCAGCTAAATTTTAGTGAAAAAGTGGCTTCGGAGGAAACCAAGAAGTTTAAAACTGCATATGCCAGGATTCAGATAATTCAGATTCACCCAGTAGTGTCCATGAACTCCTGGTACTGCAATACAGAAGATTCACAAAGAGGGATTACCTCAGCAATTCATCTGAATGAACACAGCTCTGAACTGAAGTGCTTGCCATGAGTTCATACCCGAAAAGATGTTCTTTCAACAAAACCGAACAACAATTAAAGATGATCAGATCACAAACGGACTGAAAAATAGCAAGATACATTTAACCAATAACTCAGAGCAAACTATTTTGGTATTCCTGGGCATTAATATACCTCTGTGATAAGGGCATTATAAAAAACAACAGCTAAAACTCTAGACTAACTGAACAATTGTATGGGATAAGAGACTACCTCAACCTATGCAGGCTTTTGGTCTCTGAGTCTTTGCAAATATTACCTAATAATTTGCATAACTGTTGGCAAAATTCTGTATAGTGGTACTGTCAAGCTGGTGGAGTATACATATGTATGTCCTACATATGTTGGAAGCTACTGCTTGCAGGTGTTTCTCAGATAACTCTAGGGCATTTCAAAGTGCGATAACAGGGTAGTATTATGTATGGCAAACTTGCAAGTGTTACACTGTATTAGAACACAAAGAACACAAGACCCACCTACTATAGTATACACCAAAAACTTTCATCTTATTAGAGCTAAAGGAGAATCTCAAGTAACCAGTGTTTTCTGAAGCTGAAAACTACCAGACCATTCTTGGTTTAAGACCAAATCCTTCAGCAGGTGGAGTACCTTACAATGAAAATCATCAACTCCTACCTGGATAGAAGTCTGTTTTAGTACTGGTTGACAGGGAGGAAGAAATGGACTGATACCTCAGACTGTTCTACTAGGCCAGTGAACACTCCTCTGACAATTACAACAGCCAGAGGAAACCAATTCTTCATCACAAGAGCAATCCCTCGCGTCCAGATAAGTAATCTGCTGGTACCAACACTAAGAACTAGGCACCCACCTCTCCCTCCTTACTTCTTTGCCCTGGCACTTGTGAGATCCTTTTCTAAATTAACTCAACTCACTGAACTGACAGACAAACAACCTGACAAAAAAAAAAAAAAAAAAAGACCAAAAAACAAAAAACACACACACCCACAAAAACACCCCACCAAAAACTGAACACCAAACCCAAAGGCTTTTAGCCATTGCAGATAACCACTGGGACTGCAAGCATGGTCTCATCAGTCCCCACATCCTTACACTCGTAGGTTAAAGCACCTCAGAGAACCACTTCATAGCCATGCTTCCTCCTCCTCTTTTGTGGGGCCAGAGTGTAGTGTCACAGTCTGCTGGCCATGGTGTGATAGGGCTTGAGGAGTGAAAGGCCCCCCAGTGTCCTACCCAGCTGTCCTAGTGACAAAAAACAAGACTTACTTCTTGATAATTTCAGCGGGGACTCAATGAGGGATACCAATGCAGACGACTGTCCTGGGTCCACCCTCCCTCATCTACAGCACAGACTTGAATCTGTACTAGAGCTCTGGCAGTCACACAAAACGCTGGATCAGAGAACTGACTTGGTTGAAAACTCACCACATTTTCATTTATTTTTTCAGGTCGGTTTTCAGAGAGATCATACAGCTGTACAGAGCTGAGAGCTGGCACAAAAAAGGCAAAGGAAATCTTTGGCTCAGAGAAGGTGAGACCAGCTCCCTCCACAGCAGCTCAGTGCTTAAGCTAGCTAAAAGTGGTTACGGAGGTGTTTCCCAACCTCATCAGCCACAGAAGGGGGCCTGCAGTCATTCCTCGTGTCCCCAGGCTACAGCACAGTTATACTGCATTTGCAGAAGTTTAACTTAAACAACCTCTTTGCTCAGACACACAGCTTAAACTGCTGCCTACTCCTCTGCTTCCAAAACTACCTCTGTTTTGTTATTCACAGTAACTAAGAAGGAAGGGTTTCTCTGTACATTCACCTGAAAAAATCAGGATGACAGCACTGTGAAATACTCTATTAAGCTGACAGCATTTCTCATGTATGTTTTGGCTTGTTATACAGTTCTGAGCTTGATATTTGTAAACAAAAACAAAACTGACATAAATTAAGGATTTTCTCTCTTTTTTTTCATGGCATAACTCCTGGAATTATGCCATATTTGGAAACAACAACTCCAGAAAGTCAGTGTTTCCATCAACCTGGACTTCCACAGGAAACTGATAGGTTGTAAAGTCCTGCTCCTGAGCAAGAGAGGTAAGATAGAATTACTTATCAGCCACCTGAACTAGCACACAGCACACCAAGGGACACACCAGTACTGAAGGAAGGAGACTGGAAACCCTGACAGCATTACTGCTTTATTTTAATAAAGAGTCCCATGAACACTGATATTGAAAAGGCTGAAGGAAAGAGAAAACTCCTTAAGAAAAATCAAAGTGAAGTGAAATGGCGTACTTAAAAGCTCAAAATGTCATCAGACCACCACACCTACTAAGCAAACCAGTTACAAAAAGAATCAGACAAACCAAAGATGTCAGACAAATCTTCAAAAAAGGTCCCAAACAACACACTATTATTAAATAAACTGGCAAATTTCAGGAATGCTAATCAAGAAAATAGTTTAAGTACTTGATGTCATGATCCCTTACAAAAAGTGAGAGTTTTCAAAATAACAAAATGTATTTGATGCAACATTAGAAATACTTACAACTACTCCACTCTTGGTGACAGCTTCCCGGTATGTAAAATTGCACACTGCCCAAGCTAGGTAATAGGTGGACATGAGAGGGGTCTGTGAAAAGTGATCTGTAACCCATCCATCTTCTTCAAAAACAGAAGTTTCAACTGGCATGTTGGACAAAGATAAGTAAGTTGCTTGATGCCTGATGCTAATTTTGAAAGTGGCTTTGTAGATGGGCTCATCAAAGCAAGGAAAGGCTTTTCTGGCGTGAGTAGGAGAAAACTGTGTAACACCAAGAAACCTAGAAAAGAAGCAAACAAAAAAGCAAAAGTGATTACTAACTGTGCACAGCATTTGATTCACGGACCTACCAAGTAAGACATTATGTTAGACTATTGCAGTTCAAGTTGGAGGTGGGGGGGAACAAGTTGTACAGAGTATACAGTGTTTGAACACTGCTTTATTGCTTTCTTACTACCTGTATTGCAACGCAATTGATATAAAGTAATGGTCTACAAATTTCCTACAAATTTGCAGACACCATATTGATGTTAAATAAATAATCCCTTGCCTCATACCAAACTTCAGGTTCTAGCAGCAGTTTTGTTCATCAATACTTGAAAAAAAGTTAGCCAATACTGGTTATACAACATAAAACAAGGAAGCACAGTACTCAATTCAAATAAGAATTTACAGCCCTCAGGGAGTTCACTCTGCCCTGAGACACCAACAGGGCACTTTGCCTTTCTTCAAGCATGAGAAGTCACGGTCACACAGTGCACTCAACAGGGTCACTGTTTTCCGCTGCAGATTACTTCTGTACTGATTGCACGTAGGTCTGAGACACAGCAACGCTGTGACTGTGCAAGTCCAAAAAAACATTCAGTGAGCTTTGCAGAATTATAAATACAAGCACGTGATTAAACAAGCAGAGAGTAGTTCTCTTCTTCTACGTGTGCTCTTCTGGTGTATTTTATAGAGGGAAAAAAAAAAATCTATGTTCGCAGTTAATGGGCCAAATTATTAAAAGGTTTGTGAAGGAGGAAAAGACATTTATTATGCCACTGTAGAGAGTGGGAAGGCTTTAGTTTGACAATAAAATCCGTAACTGTTTTCTTTGCAACTAAAGAGATTTTAATACAGTTAGAGAATAGGAACCTTTCTGGGTAGAGACTTATATTTACACATTTGGTGAAAACCCAGGTGCAATGATCTCTTTGCAGAAACAAGAAGCTACAATTAAAAGGCTGAATTACAGAGTTTGATAAGAACATTTTCTGGAGGCACACAGGATGAGAAAACTACTATGGGAAAAATACGTAACTGTAAAGCTAGCACATATGCAGGCTTTTTGACCAGTATCGATTCACGTCTCACTTTCCAAGGGTCCATCAGTGTTAATAACCATGCAATTTTAGATTCCAGGTAAACATTTATCAGAATTTTAGAGGTTGACAATCATCAGCTATTCCTCTAAGGAAAGAGGATGGGTGGATAGATTTGATATAATGAAAATGGTAGCACCTATTATTAATCAGTCCATAAGCATTATTCTGCAATGTGGTACTCTCTAACGCCAATGGAGAAAAAAATTGGGTAATGCATAAGGAAAACAAAGTTAACTTTTTCTAAAATTTCTTGGGTTTTATACATATATTGGAACACTATTTTATAAAACAACAATGAAGAAATAAACTTCCTGAAATGCTATACTTTTATCTTGCTATAGTGCATCCATGTCTGGTAGAATTAGATATACATTTTCTAGTGAAATTATCACCTCTTTCAAATAAGGCTAATTTCTTTAAAACTTGAAAAAAATTTCCACCACACAAGCATTTACCATTGGTCTTTTGCCTACAATAAAAAGCCTTATTTGGCCAGTGATTATTGAAGGAGTTCATCATATGGCATTTTTCTTGTCCCATTATAAAACATGGATTACTAAAATCATCACTCTGCATAAGGTTGCTAAATACAAGGTAAAAAGTTGGTGCCAGCTATTCCAGTGTTAATCCAACTAAATTCCATATTATCAGTGGATTTAGACTAGTGCAACAAAGCCAAGTCAGCCAATTAAATGAAGTAAAGCAATCTAATTTATATGCAAAATATTTCAAGTGGACCTGATTCTGCATTCTAGGCACACTCCAAACAGCTACAGACATCAACAGAAGCTTCAAGTGAGCATGGAAAACTGTACTGGCCCGTTATTAATAAAGCAAAAGTGATGAACTTTCCTCTGCAATTAACAATTTTAATGAGCTCAGACACAGGTAAATGCATACTTAGGGAATACTGTATATATCCTCTAAA